CTACTCCACTACATTTTTGAACAGGACTGAAAAGTAAAAGTCTTTTTTTTTTTTATAGTTTGAGACCTGCAGAAAAGGTTGAGGGTTTATTTTTAACACAGCAAACAAATATATACAAATAAAAGCTAAGAAAAATTCAAAACAAAAAACGATTCAAAAGTTTCTGCTGAACAAAATTAATCTTTCGCAACATCTCAACATTTGAAGTTTTATTAGATGTCAGATTCTACATGAAATACTTTGACTTTTTACTCTTTAAGCCCATGTTTAAACAGATACTTTAATACTTTCAGATAGTAGATTTTTTTTTTTTTTTATCAGATACTTTGACTTTGAGCATTTTGTTTGCTCCAGTATCTCTACTTTTTTTTAAGTTACCAAAATGAGTACTTCTTCCACCACTGCTGCTTATACAATACATCTTTACTGGGGAAAGACACATTTTGCTCAAATACACAGAAAAATATGACATAATCCACTTTAAGGTAACATACTGTGCGTTACGTTCTCCGCTCTCTAAAGTAGGCCACACACTCTTCTCCTATTTGCACAGCAGTGATTAGCTTAAGGCTGCACAGATCCCCCAAAGATTATGTTACTGTACGCTCCAGCTAATTAGACTTACTGTAGGAGAGGAGAGCTCAATAAAATATTTCAAAGCCATTAATAATTTGGTGCTGAATCTACAATGGCTTAACACTCGCAATCACAGAAGACTGCAAATGAGCGAGGAGGCTATAGGCTGCTGCTGCGATAAAGACACATACAGATATTTAAGAGTGAAAGGCGCAGCTGTATCTTTAATTGAATTCTTGCTTCATGGTGGCAAAGTAGTTAGTGCTCTCAAATCACTCTGGGCGCTTCATGGTTACGTCACAAACCGGCAGACGTTTGGAAACACGTGGATGATGACTTTCTTTGGGCTCTGTTGGCGATAGTAACGCTAGTAAATCTGTGTCGTCCAGGTAGAGTCCTGGCCAGGTTGGTGCCGCCGTAGTGCTTCTGCTAAATTTCATTTCTCTCCAGCGACTAGATCAGGAATTGGAACACACTAGTCGGTTTTCAAGAACCCCAAGAGTTGTCGACTGCACACTGGCCAATCAGCAAAGAGCTGTGAAGTCATGATGTCAAACTCAAGCTAAACAAAGCGGTCGAGGTGGATGTAGACGAAGACATACGTTCTGTGTTGGCAACGATTCCTGAGATCGAGGATTTAAAGCCAGAACAAAGAGAATGTTTGGTGAATTTTAAAGGAAAGACGTTACTGCCCTTCTTACTACAGGATTTGGCACATTACATACGTTACCACCAAATACAGCGACTGGTTAAATGAAAAGTACCTGCCTACTGTCGCGTGAACGAATACTAATGCTGCGAGGCCAGACAGTTTACACAAAGTGAAGAGAATCCATGACAAAAGGAGAAATTCAATTTGTCAACTGGACAAATGTTTATTTGGTCAAATATATTTCACAGCTCATCCAAGCTGCTTCTTCAGTTCTGGTCAAAATGCTGGTGGATACTTCCTTATATCTGCCTGAAGGGAGGAGACACTGAAACGACTCTGGAACTAACACACCTGCTTGTTTACAGTTTCTGTTAGTTAGCTAGGCCTTGCACTGAGTGTGGGGTCATATTAGCAGAATCATTCAGGGCCATAATGGAGTTTTCACATCTCTGGCCCTGATCTGGCTAACCCTATTGTTTCTTTTCTTTGTTTTGATTTAGGTTTGAGAATGGAGTTGTAAATAGGAGATAGATGATGTCTGAGTCCCCCTATTCCTGTTTAAAGATGGATGCATCCTGTAGAAACACAGACGAGAGAGCAATAGTGGACCTCAGTCTCCTGTACATCTCCATCTAAAAGTCTCAGGCCACTCTTTTGAAGAGTGTGAGGTACAGATCTTAGTCAGAGAAAATAATTAGTTTGAGAGTTTGACGAGTTAAAGAAGCTATTTTTGTTAGGAAAGACAATCCATCTTTGAAATAAACTTTTGTCCAGTTGTCAAATTGAATTTCTCCTTTTGCCGTCTAACAAATCTAAGAAAACTGAGAAAATGGCTCGATTTTCTTCATGTAGATGTCTTTGGTGTGTTAGTTTCAGAGTAGTTTCAGTGTAGTCAGCTCCACCTTCAGGCAGATATAAGGAAGTGTCCACCAGCGTTTGACCAGGACTGAAGTTTTTTTTAAATTGACAGAATTTAATTTCTCCTTTTCCGTGGTGTCCCTCTTTAAGTCACTCCTGGTTATGAAACGCATCACATCAGGTTTGTCAAGTTGCTGTGTACAGTTTTGTATCATCTTTTTGTGTATTTGTGGAGAATTGTCGTGTGGGAGCATGGGTGACCTCGGCTTGTGGACGGAGCCTTGGACAGAATCGCACAACTAACCGAAAGGAGGGTTTGAATAGGGCCCAGGAGAGATTATTAAAATACTCAAATGACATCTAAAACCACTTCAGGCATGTTTTTGATGAAGGAATAATATCATAACATGGTAGAAAAAACAAAAAGAAAAACTCTCTTTAACATAAATGGTATTTGTGTATGTTTGTCATTCTATCAATCCCTGTAATGTTATATGAATTACAACCAGGACAACTTGGAAGAAGAGTTTAAATGGTTAAATAAAGGACACATTTAAAATAAATACAAGCAAAAACCTGAATACTGATGTTGATGACAGCCCAAAATAATTTGTGTTATTTTTGCCAGGAGTAATAACTTGCCGCTCCATTTGCTAAATGTTCACTCTTTTAAGCAGGATTTGTGATGCTTGATTAAACAAAACAGCATTTTTATTGTCACAAACTGTTGGGGCCCACACGACTCTTCTCCCACAGTTCCAAAATATTCATGTGGTGTGGGTAGTTTAGTCGACAATGGACAGAGAATTTAAGCCTATAAGAAACCTTAAATTTTAAATCTTAATCTGATCAGAGCTAAATCGGTCCTCGCGTCTGATCCCTGAAGGTGACTAGTGTTGGTCGGCACATATTGGCTGCTTGAGTTCCATCAGTCAGTCCCAGGGCAGATGTGACTACAGCAGTATTTTAGATTAAAACAACTAAATGAGAATGAAAAATGCAATGAATTGTTGAGCAACTTTGCGTGGGTAAAAACAAGAACGAAGAAGAATTGTTGTTTTTATGTTGTGCATTAAATAAATCAAGACTTTTTCCCAATCACCTCTCCAGATATTTTCAGAAATTCTGCAGATTCAAGGACACATCAGGAGTGTAATGTAAGCGTGCTGAGCTAATGGATGTGGTTTGACAGCAGAAATGATGAGATCAAGTCTGGCAATGATTTACAAACTTAAAAGTGCTCAGTGTTTCGAGTTATGGCATCACAAATATGGGAATATTCAAGCAGTTTTATGGGGCTCAGAGGGATTGGATCAGATGCAGTGGATCTTAATGAAGTTAAATACAACTCCAAGTGTGTTTTTGATGAAGGAACAATATTTTTCTGACATGGTTACAAACTCAAAATGTTATGTGTCTTTTACAGGCACAACAGATTGTTTGTTTGTCTGTTTTTTTTTTTTTTTTTTTTGGTCAGTTTGGTCTAGGGATGGGCATGATTAGTCGATTAATCGATAATTGATCATTAAGAATTTCATCGATTACGTTAAGTTTAATCGACAAACTGAATGCAGGTTGCTGTGCGTAGCGTGACCAAACAGGGGTCCGTACATGTAGCTCTCTGCACTCAGAAGGAGCGAGCAAACACAGTCGGTCCGCCTGCAAAGTACCGAAGCACAAATGTGTATTTAACGATGACTTGTACAAAAAATTCCACGCTTTCCATTACGTTCGGGACAAGTGTGAGTCCATGTGCACAGTGTATAAAGCAGCACATATGTTTCGGTGTCCAGTGGGAAAAAGTTTTGCCAGGTGAGAGTCGCGCAATGTCGAATGATAAGTCCCCACCTCCCTCCCCCGTACGGTGTCCTGGTTTTGACAAACGCAAATCTGGTCACACTAACCTGTATTCCACTGAGTCATGTCTTTTAATCTGACAGAAGTTGACTGCATGAGCGCACAAGAGCTGTAGTTTTATCTTCGCTTAGTTTATGCAAATTAGCGATGCGGTTTTAAGTTTCATTTCTGTGAGAGTTGCGCAAAACTGAATTAAACACATTATAATCTCAAATGGATTGATGTGGCTCTAGAGTCTTTACGGTTTATATGTCGTAAAGTTGAATTTATTCATGCAGATTAGTAGTGTAGATAGTAATAATAATGATTATCATTTTAATATAAAAACGTTAATGATCAATCGATAATCGATCGTTAATTCTTCCGACGATCGATTAAGAAAATTTCATCAAATGCCCAGCCCTAGTTTGGTCTCAACATACAAGCTACTTTCATGTAGAAACAACTAAATTCTTCATTCTGCACTGAAATATGTTTTAATTCTTGACTGAATTCCCAAGGACATTTTCTCAAAATCCATTTTCTCCCAAAAAGACATAAGGATCACCCCTTAAAGTAGCACCTACATACACTAAACCTTCCAATATTAAGCTTATAGAAGGTCTTTGTTATATAATTCCAAGTTTGATTTATTTAAGTTTTTACTTAAAATAAATAGGCAAAATTAAATTTGTTTTGTGTATTTGTCAAATATTGTATGTTGTGAATTTCTTATGTACCTTCCAGCAACATCTTTGAAATATTTTAGGCAAATTTTCAGTGAAATAAAGTTTATTTAAATTGTACTAAAAATTACTAAAATGCTAAAAAAAAAAAAAAAAAAAAAAAAAAATCCTCTGTATATATTTGTGTGTCTAATATTAAAAAAACATGAAGCATATTTCTGTTTTGGTACATTTTGACCTTTTGCCTTATTTCGATATAAAAATATGTGATGATGAAAAACTTGTAATGCATTTTCTTCTTACATTTGCGCGTGTAAACTACAGAAGAAGTTCCACATTGACATCTGTATATTAAAGATTTTCTCGCCATCTCATATTCTGTCGATTCGCAGGAGAGGAGTCTTTGATGATCTTCGTGGACAAGAGGAAGCTGAGCCGAGCGCCGGAGGGCTCCGAGTCCAATAACACGGCGGTCACTCTGGAGACCCTGCACCAGCTGGCCGCCTCCTATTTCATCGACCGCGAGAGCACCCTGCACAAGCTGCACCACATCCAGATCGCATCCACTGCCATCAAGGTGAGGGCCGGTCCCATTTCTCTGGATTTGGTTCTGCTTTTGGAATAAACGGCGCGATGATTTTGTGTAATTACTCTAGCAGCTAAAAGTTTGGACACCACCTTTCATTCAGTGTATGTTTTAAAATATAAGAATACATTTTACGCTTCACAAATGCTTTACTAGTTTCTACAGTTTATATACACACAGAAGACATCAAATATATGAAGTAAAATGTATGGAATTATGTAGCAAAAAAAAAAAAAGGTACTAAATAACTAGATAACTAAAAATAACTAAATATTTTTAGATTTATTTTAGATTCAAATCCTCAAAGTATCTGTCCTTTGCTTTGACAGAGCTGCAAACCCTTGTCCTTCTCTCAGTGAGCTTCATGATTAAGTCTCTGAAATGGTTTTCACTTCACAAATGTGCCAGGTCAGGGTCAAGAAATAAAAAAAAGTGCAAAGCAGGGTTCAGATCAAGCAAGCAACACAGTCTAAAATGAACCATCTTCAGTTAAAAGATGAGCCTTCATGCTGTTAATGTGCAACAAATGGTGCTCTAGTACAAATGTTAGATGGTCATGCTCTGAAGTGAAGGAATTCTCAAAGGCTACGTTCAGACTGCAGCCTGAAGTGACCCAAATCCAATTTTTTGGCCCCTATGTGACCTGTATCTGATCTTTTAATGATGGTATGCGACCCAGACCACTTGGATATGTGCTCCTAAAACCGATACATATCCGATCTTTTGACATGTGACTTCAGTCTGAATGGCCAAAGGGCATTCATTCGACCTACACGTTATCAACAAGCCACAAACGTCACTATTCTGCGCTGAAGTAGGCGAAAATTGTTAATGAACTCAGTGAAGCACATAACCACTCACCACTCTTGGCTACGTCTCCACATCCACACGTTCCTTTCAACAGACGTCGCTGCTACTGCCCCACAAAACACCACGGCCAAAAACCTCGTCCTTCTCCTTCTCAGTCTCCTCCTTAAAACAAGTAAGTTGTTCATGTTCTGGCTCCGGTACGAGAGGAACTTTAAAATCTCCAGGTGCTCAATGCTCGCGTCCATGTTTGGACAACTTCCGTAAACACAGAGCACGCTCGCTGCGGTTGCCGTCGTCGTGTCTCCAGTGTCACATGCGGGACACTTTCGGGCCGTTTACTGTTCACACTGGAGATCACATACAAGTCGCATTTAATTGGAAATGTGAACGACCTCGCAAAAACATCGGATTTCACAAAAAAATCCAAATTGAGCGTTAAGCCCTGCAGTCTGAACGTAGCCAAATTCTGTTCATAAATCAATTGGGGTGATTATTGAGATTAATATTCCAGTTTGTATTACTGTTTATTGTGAGTGACCCATCTTCTGTAAAAGCAGTAATTCCAAAAAAAATCATATGGACTTGGTCCAAACAGCATTAATGCTCAGCAGGAAACTCCTAATCCAACAATGGAAAACACACTTCACACCATCTGTCACAGACTGCTCTCAAATACTGACTAAAGTGGCAGCTTTTGAACAAGTTTCTTTCCTACAGATAGGCAGGGAAGAAAAATGTAAAATGAAATGGGGCTGTTCTTTTTTTTTTTTTTTTTTTTTTCTGTTAGTGAATATATGAGAATTAAATGATTGCGAGTAGTCTGAGGTATTATATGAAGCTGTACACTGTCTGGAACACTGACCTTCTGATTCACGTATAACTCTGTATTCATAATGCTGCCCCTAATCTGCAATGAATCGACTGTCACATTGGTACTATTATACATATTATGTTTTGCAAGACATAACTGCAACAATATTACGCCATGAAAACTACATTCACGACTGTTGTTTTAAATTTTAAATGACAGCGTAAATAATCACGGAAATAAGGAAGAAAAAGTGTCCAAACTTTTGACTGCTAGTGCGTGTGACAGGATGATTTTGTGCAATTACGTTCAAGTTTTGAGTTGGCACTTTCCTTTCCTTGACACTTCTCCAACTGTATTCTGAGCAGTTACGTGGTTGTTTAGGCGTTTTGAAGTGAGAGGTAGGCTGGTCCAGCAGATACAGAAGAAAACGCTGGTATTTAACTCTTTCCCCCCTGGACGCCTACGAGGAACAACCCATACATATATGACTAGGACTGCCCTTAGAGCATGATTGCATAAAAGAAAACAGACTTCCACGAGTGATTATAAATGATTTTTACACTCATGAACTTAATTGCAACACAGACATGTTTGGTATCTCTGGAAACCTTAGACTCTGAACTATTAATTTAAAGATGTTTAAATGTGATTCAACTCATTTACTGGTTTATAACAGCTCACTGAAAATGAGAGTTTACCTGGTCAGGTGCAAAATCAAAAACAAAACTACATTCAGTATCTGATATATGCATGTTCTGAGTACTATATTCATAAAAAAATTAAAAAATATACTTTGTCAAAGTATTTAAACAGATTTCATATCACCAGATACAGTATAGCCAAGTGTACACCTGTTTTTACCTGTTGTTCACCTGTGTGCACCTAATTAATTTTTTCCATTTAACTTATTCAACTCATTTATCTTATTCAACTAATTTAGCTTATTATAATATAATAATATAATAATAAAACTCTTCCCCGTCAGTGTGTGTCCAGTATTTGTCATCTTGTTTACTTTCTCGTGTGCAGAGCTCCGCATAAGCATTTGTTTCTGTAGCGATTCTGTTATACATCGCATCTTGGAAAAAAAAGACTGAAATATTTTAAAGGACTCGCCTGGGCAACATCCAGATTTCAGGGCAATTTGTTCATAATCGAGTATAAAATCCCGGATAGTTTGTTGGGATATCGCAGGACTCCATACAGACGCATCAGCGGCATTCTCAACTTCGTAAGTTTCACTCTCCAAAAGTCCGTCGCTGTCGCTGTTTTCCACTTTATAATCAATTTCATCATCACTTTGAAATCTATAAAAGTCACTTTCTCTAAACTTATCCATAAAATACATCCGCTCCTCGCTGCTATCTTTCCATTGCACATGTTTCGTGTTGTGTTTTTTCCGGAAGCTACCATCGTCACTACTTCGATTAACTTCGGAAAAAATCTGCGAAAACATATCCTTGAATCCTATTGGTCAGTGTAGTGTGGGTTGTAGTGGCCCCCACCTATCACAGTCTCTGTTTAAATGTGAAAAACTGAGCCGTTTCTAATGGTCGTCAAATCACGTCTTTAGTGATACAGCGGAGGTGTCAAAAGACGTCATTAAGGATACGGGGGGGTCGTCAAATGTCGTCTTCATGGGGGAAAGAGTTAAGGATGCAAAATAATTCATAATCAAATCAAAATTGCAGTTTGAAAAGACACAATGAGCAAATCAGAAAGAGTGCAGTTTTTGAATTCCATCATTTTTCACAGACAACCAAAGTATCTGGTATGTTATTCTAACCGTGTAGTTTAAATCTGTACAAACATGCTCTGAAATACGGATTCTTTTTATTAGTTTGTCAGTTCAGATTTCAGCCTTTTTCTCAACTTTGAACAAAATCCGATCATTCAGACATGAACTGCCACAATTCTTGTTAAAAAAAAAAAAAAAAAGAAAGAAAGAAAAGAGATTTAATTTTTTTCCCGAATTGTTCAGTCCTCCTTTCTTCTTTGTGTGAATATTAAAGCTGAACTACAGTACGTCACTTTTCTGGTGGTACCTACTTGTCTCCATGGCGATGTAATTGCGTTGCCAGGAATGTCCCACAAAAACACGTTTTCTTACCGTGAAATAACTCGCCGAGATTCGATATGGAAGCATCAAATCAGCGATCATCAAGCTTCTCGATGGAGACGGATCTGTTTAATATTGTAGATCATTTCTGGGCAAAGCAATAACATCGCCATGGAGACGAGCAGATGCCAGACCTTTATTCAGAAATACTACAATGTGCACTTTTATACTCTGGATGAAATCTTACAATAAAAGTGGCCTTCATGATAATAAAAGATATTTTTTTCTTTGCTGGTGAAATATGGAAAAAAAAAACTTCTAATAAGTGAGTGTCAGATTTTGTTCGAAGATTTGCAGTATTTGTATGTAGTACAGTATGCAGTATTATTTTTCTTGGCTCATTTTTCACTTGATAGTGTCCTATATTAGGGTGAGTTGTTGTAGAGTTGTAGGGAGTATTATCTGTTACATAAGGGTGAGTTGTTGTACAATTGTAGGGAGTATTATCTACTCTGTCCCTCTATAGTCTGGAGCAATGGGTGAGTTGTTGTACAATTGTAGGGAGTATTATCTGTTAGATAAGGGTGAGTTGGTGCACAGTTATAGGGAGTATTATCTGTCCCTCTATAGTCTGGTGCATTCGGTGAGTTGTTGTACAGTTGTAGGGAGTATTATCTGTTACATGAAGGTGAGTTGTTGTACAGTTGTAGGGAGTATTATCTGCTACAAAAGAGTGAGTTGTTGTACGGTTGTAGGGAGTATTATCTGTCCCTCTTTAATCTGGTGCATTGGGTGAGTTGTTGTACAGTTGTAGGGAGTATTATCTGTTACATGAAGGTGAGTTGTTGTACAGTTGTAGGGAGTATTATCTGTTAAATGAGGGTGAGTTGTTGTACAGTTGTAGGGAGTATTATCTGTTAAATGAGGGTGAGTTGTTGTAGAGTTGTAGGGAGTATTATCTGTTACATGAGGGTGAGTTGTTGCACAGTTGTAGGGAGTATTATCTGCTACAAAAGAGTGAGTTGTTGTACGGTTGTAGGGAGTATTATCTGTTACATGAGGGTGAGTTGTTGTACAATTGTAGGGAGTATTATCTGTTACATGAGGGTGAGTTGTTGCACAGTTGTAGGGAGTATTATCTGTTAAATGAGGGTGAGTTGTTGTACAGTTGTAGGGAGTATTATCTGTCCCTCTATAGTCTGGTGCAGTCGGTGAGTTGTTGTACAGTTGTAGGGAGTATTATCTGTTACATAAGGGTGAGTATTTGTACAGTTGTAGGGAGTATTATCTGTTACATGAGAGTGAGTTGTT